ATGGTAATTTTTATTATCAAAATTTGATACCTTGCATTCGTAAAGGCCATAAATTGTCTGATTTTTTCCTTTTGTTGAGTTTTTGTGCTCTGGAAAAGTGAAGGAAGCTGGGATCAATAAAATAATATCATAAACAACATGCTTTTAATGAAACTGGATAAAACCAAGTTCCTTACATACCATGTTTCTAATTATTTCCTTTTTATGTTTATGATTTTATATTGTCAGGCTTGTAATTACTGGTGGTTATTTTTTAAAAAATTTTTTTTTGTTGTATATGTGATCTACTATATATAACACAATGTGTGTAACTTCTTCAATAACTTTACTTTTTTTCTCCTAACCCACCCATATAATACCATTTATACAATGAGTTGTGAGTATTATAATAATATAATAATAATAATAATCTTTTTTTATTTGAATTAAGGCTTTTTTTTCAAACTAAAGATTAAATTATTCATTTTCTAGTTCGATTTCTAAATCTCATCAGGCCTTTCATGGCCATACTTCCAGAAGTTACAGCCCCTGAAAGAAAGGTCAGTACCATTTAATTTGAAAAAAAAAAGTTTTTTCATTAATAAAAATTTCACTATAATAACATGTTTTATGTCATGAAGGTACCCTTTCGACAAAAAATTTTGTGGACAGCTGTTACGCTCCTTATTTTTTTAGTGTGTTCACAAATTCCATTATATGGCATAATGTCATCTGATTCATCTGATCCTTTATATTGGTTACGTGTAATTCTTGCTTCGAACAGAGGTACACTGATGGAATTGGGTATAACACCTATTGTAACATCGGGAATGATTATGCAACTTTTAGCTGGAGCAAATTTGATTGAGGTTGATTTCAGTTTGAAAGAAGATAGAGCATTGTTCAGCGGTGCTCAGAAACTTTTTGCAATGGTTTTCGCTTTTGGTCAAGCTACAGTATCTGTGATGACTGGATTGTATGGCAATCCGTCAGAAATCGGAGCTGGTGTTTGTCTATTGCTTATCATTCAATTAGTTTTTGCCGGTCTCATCTCTATGTTGTTGGATGAACTTCTTCAAAAAGGCTATGGTCTAGGATCTGGAATTTCACTTTTTATCGCTACAAATATTTGTGAGTCAATAGTTTGGAAAGCATTTAGTCCAACGACTGTTAACACAGGGCGTGGACCCGAATTTGAAGGAGCTTTGGTTGCATTGGTTTATCTAGTTTTCACTCGTAATGATAAAACTCGTGCACTGAAAGAAGCATTTTATAGAACAAACTTACCAAATGTCATGAATTTAATAGCAACTGGGGTAGTTTTTGCTATTGTCATCTATCTTCAAGGTTTCCGTGTTGAAATTCCTGTTAAATCGAATCGTTTTCGCGGTCAATATGGAACTTATCCAGTCAAATTGTTTTATACTTCAAATATGCCCATCATGCTTCAATCCGCTCTTACCTCTAATGTTTTCTTGATTTCACAAATGTTATATAATCGTTTCCCTGATAATTTACTTGTTAGACTTTTAGGTGTTTGGACTGTGAGTTTATTTTTTTATGAAAAATATATATTGCATGCATATATATAAAAAACTTATATATAATAATAATTTTAATTTATTGTAGCCATTTGAAGGATCCTCGCACC